GATGGACAACAGCCAGGACATTGGCGACTTCTCCACAATAGCTCTGGCCCAGGGCAACGATGCAGCGTAGGAAGCTCCCTGCGATATCAACCATCGCCGAGCACACGTGAACAGCGCAGTGCACAGGATTATACTTTCGAAGCCCTGCACCGGGTGTACTTCTACGATGCATGGAGGGTGACGCCAGTCCTAGATTCCCCAGAATCCGAACTGGTCCTGCCACCGCAACCAGGCCTATTGGAGCATGGCTGTTACTGGCCTCGACCAAGTGTGGCACCTGATGTCCTCTCGGTCTCTGATCGTGACCCAGACAAAGAGGAACATAAAGTGCAAGAAGACCAATCGCTGCCCTCTATGGCGGCTACAGATGCTGCGATGGCTGATGACGACGTAAATGAAGCAGTCTCAGTCCACAGCTCCTCCTCCGAGTCGCCCACTGTCCCAAGCACAGAGCAGCCGGAGGAAGACGATGCACAAATGGAAGAAGATGATAGCGCTAACATCTCCTCAGAAGACGAGGGTGATTGCCTTAGCAATCGTCCGGGCCCTCCTGGCGCATGCCCCGCACAAGATGAAATGCTGGAGGCAGACGAAGACGCAAGGAGTGAGCTACCCCCACAGGATGTGGACCCCTCTAGTAGCAGCCCCACTTCGCACTCCTCGGAGTCCCCAATCAAGCGAAGACCGGGGTCTAAGGCCAGTGCCGGGCGAGCTCAGTCCAAGAAGTTACGAAAATCACTTGCTCCAACATCCCGGCAACCACTCAGCAGCATTCCTGAATATGAGCAACCACCGGCTACACTGGCAGACCTCGCCAGTCGGAATGCTCAAAGGCAGGAAGCTCCTGTTTGCAGGAACCCTGAGACACCACCTGACCACCCTGGATCGACGCAAGAGCGCCCACAGGCCACGACAGAAATTGACATTGTCAGTGATCAAGAGCATGCAGAGCGAGGAGGCACGGCCGCCACTGATCTCCAGCTGGAATCCGAGCAGAGAGCCATGCAGGCCCTATACGACTATCAAAATGCGGCTCGAACGGCCAGAGAAGCTGACAGGCAACGAGCGCCGCTCCCCTCATTACAGATCTATAGTGACCTGCCTAGAGAATGGCCGATGGCGAGGCTCGCTATTTCCAACAAGCAAATCAACCGCCTCGTCCGTACATTCCTCTGGAGGAGGGTGACAGAACAAGCACTCCATGGCTCCTCCTTTGTAGACATTCCAGATGAAATCAATCAGGCCTATATAGGAGATCTCCTCCGCATAAGCGAAGCCTTTGCTGCTCCCCTGTCCAACCTCTTCGCCTTTGTGAAGAGTGGACATCCAGCATGCCCTTTCATCACTCAAAAGCAGCTCGCCCTTTATGCAAGTCCCCGCTTCTGGCAGTATGGTCTCCTTGCTTTCATTGCAAGGTGCTGTTCCTTTGATAATCAACACAGACACCAGGGTACAGGAACAGCCCAAGCTGTGGAAGGGACACCAGAGACAACAAAGGAAAAAGATGTCGATGCCCTCACTTTTATGCGCACTGTCATCATGTCCTTTGTTAGAGGAATGGAGCATGGTGAGCAGACGCTACCCACCAATGACCTCTTTGTCTATCTACCAGTACAGATCCTGTCTGACCTGGTCGTAGCCATGGAGCGGCAGGGCTTCGCGCCCGCGGAAGTGAAGGGGGGCTATGGATACCGACCCAAAGAAGAGGGTGCTGAAGACAACCCCCTGCTAGCGGTGGGAGTGCACACCAAAGACATCGCTTATGACCGATACCCCCGGATGCCGGATACCTCCTGGGCTGAAAGAGCTTACTCTAGCGGTGCCCTCGACCCGTCTTTGGGACAAGCTTTCTCGTTCCCTTCCCTACTGCAGCTGAGGTTGCGCATCGAAGTCCCCTTGTGGAGAGACCTGACAACTGCCAGATGCCCTACGGCCGACTTGCCTGCAGAAGAGGACTCTGCCTCTGACGCAACCGGCTCACCTGAACGGTCGCCTAGACTTGCTCTCCCGGTGCCAGTGGGGCTAGCTGACACACCAGACGAAGGCACTGAGGAAGCCACAGAGGAGGAGGACATGGTAGATGAACCCAGCTATGCCTTTGCCAAGGAATGTGGACGGTTTGGCATAGGTTATACTAGACTAGCAACAGCTCTTGGCAATTTCGAGCAAGGGGACATTGAAGCAGAAAGTGCAGTAGTAGCTCAGTGGCTGACCTCCGGGATACGGGTTGCCATGTCTCGCACGGGGTGGAACCTCCTGTCTCCTCGCTATATGCTGACCAAAGTCCCTGCTGCTGTCCTCAGTGACTACTACTGCAATGGATATCCCTTCACTCCTAAGATGGCAGATCGCCCATACAACCAATCTACACCGAAGCTCGATGGGATCAGCTCTGTAAATGGCTCACTGGGAACCCTGAGTTTAGACTTCAACTTGGGGGCCACAAGCAGGCGCTTCGAGACCATATGGGCTAGTCCCCCCTCCAGGAGGGGGAAGCTCCTCGTCTGCAGCAGGGTCTTCCTGGCACAGTAGGCGGCCCCCATCGCCTTCGCCCTCTGGGTGGACTTATGGGTGGTGGCAGTAGGGCAGTCGCCAGTAGGAGTCCTCCCACACAGCAACCGTCTCCTTGTCGCTCGGCTTTCTCCATGAGATGGGTGGCCTTAGCCACCCTCCCCTTCTGGTAGCTTAATTGCCATCATGTTTTTTGCAATGGCTACATATCCCACATTTCAGTTGTTTGGCTCAAGCAAATCGAGTCGGCCCACCGCCTACGCGACAACGCCGCCCCACCAAGACCGTTGTGAAGTCAACCTCGAGTTGGTCACGAGAGCAGGCACGGAATATGAGACGCAAGCAGACCTCTCCCTTATGAGGATGTGGCAGAACTGGAGACGACATTCTTTGTTTTCTGCCGACAGTCTCTGATAGATGTCTTCGGCTGTGAATTGGATTTGCTCGACTTTCACACGCAGCAACCCCTGCCAGAGGCATTCCGCACAGTGCTCCTGCAACGACCGCAGCTACAAATTGTAGTTCGTCCGTGCATGGTAGATGGACACTCCATCTGGCAGTTCCAGGACGACGGAAAGGAGAGCTACCACAAAGCTGTACGTGTTCCGGCCAACCCGCGGGGAGAAATTTTTTTTTCCACGAGTGCGGACGCCGTGTGGGCATGGTGCCCAGGTCATCGTTGAAGGGAGGGAAAAACAGTCTGATGGTGGAGAAAATAACAAGCACAACCCAAAAACCACAACCAAAGGCCCACAGGCCGAGTCTCCACCATCATGTACTGGGGAGGCCCACTTTGGCGACCCTGGAATCCACTGCATTTTTGGCGCTTGGTTTTGGGGCCGTCACTGGACAAGATTTTTGCATGCGTCGTGATCCGCTTGGCCGCGTGGAGAATAGAATTTATTTATAGAATAAAACAAGTTTGCAGGACCACTATGCCGACTTGCTTTTGGATACTAGTGGTCTCCAGTCCGACCTGCTTGTGGTGGAAGCGAGGGCCCGTGGGCAATTTTTTT